GGAATTCAGCAGAGCTAAAAGCAAAGCCAGTGTCCAGGGTTTCTGTTCCATGACGGAGCTGGGTCCGGCACAGCATCAGGCTAGTTGCAGTCCATTAGTCTATGTGTGTGGGGTCCACATGGCTGTGGGCCACGTGGGGGAGTGCAGAGTGTGAGAGCCCCACAAACCAGGAATCAGATGCAAGCAGCAAAAGGGAAGGAAGGGAATGCTTTTGTTCAGGAGCTGATGTATCAGATTTCACGCCTTTGCTGTGACCACGCCTATTTTGACGTGCTCCCAGGTGTGACTGACAGGTAATCATCTTCTCTACATCACCCCGACCTCACTGGGCATGCCTGTAATATTCAGTCTTGGGTTCCTGATGTTGTTCCATCTGTTGCATCCCCAGGGAGAGGTAACAGAACAATACATGAAACGCTGCTCTCTCTGGTGGATAGCCATCGCTCTCTAAACCCTGGCAACTCTGCCAGGCCACTAGTTTGTTAACTCTTTCCAAATAAAGTCTGGTAAGAAAGCAAACAGTGATTTCATGTAGCCAGTATCGGCACTACAGGAGCTCAGAATATAAGAGGCTCTCGCCAGCTTGCACAGCTAAATTGTCACACTGACCTAAGACTTGCAAGTTTAAAGTCCTTCCGTTTCCCAGGAGCCGTCCACTTCTTGAAGACTGACCGATTACTACCAACAACTACTTGGCTGAGTTATTCCCAAGCCATTCCTGGATGGCACTGTATTTATTTTCCACAGAGTAAAAATCAATAACAACATTTGTACAGTGCTTCCAGAGAGCTTTACATTTGTAATCTCCTTTGATCTTCTTCAAAAACCGATAAAGTAGACAAAGCGGCTTTATGGTTGATGCTGTTTTATAGAAAAGGAACCGAGGGTCAGAGAGGTCCAGTGATTTGCTCAAGCAAATGGTAGAGCTGGGTCTAAAATTGCATGTTTTCCAAAACTCCACACTACCTCTGCTAGCATTGGGTAGGGTGATAAGTAATGCTTGTTCCGAATTAGAATGTTTTTTTCACTTACATAACCAACTAAGACTTGCATAAGTACTGTTGTGTGTTTTTTTTGTCTAAAACATTCTTTTTTTACATCGATGTCCTAACTATTACCATGGAAGTGTAAGTGTTGTTATAAGGATAAAAGGAGTGGTGAGTTCTAGAGGAGGATGTTGCCAGCATTTATAAGGACTGAACGGGGTAGCCCTGGGATACCAACATTTTGTTGTTGTTGTTAATGATGAGGAAGTTAACAAAGCAGAAGTCTGCTCATAGTTTTAGTCTCACTACTAAGGAATTTCTGTCTTCATGATGATTTTTCAGAGAAAGACCCAAGGCATTTATAATGAAAAGTGCCATTTTGGTTGTCCACCGTGGCTACTACACAATGGCAGCATTATTAGAGTTAATAATGTGCAAAATATTTGCATTAGTGCCTTTCATTCAGGGCTCGTTTAACTAGCATACCGATGCTAGGTCAGCAGGTTGACATGTCCTAACCCTCTCCCCTGGTATGCCTGCTAACCCCCACCCCAAACTCACCCTATCCCCTGGAAATAGAAGAATTAGGAACATCATAGTATATCTGCAAGTGAAAACAGAAATGGGTAATTTTATGTGTGAGGGTTCCCACAGGTGGGCAAATCCCACTGTTCCAACAAGGAACTTAAGCGAAGTGCTCCTAATTATGTACAATTTAGGTTAAAAGTGGAGTTAGGTAGCAGTTTGGCTCAGACCAACACTAATAAGCAGTCTGGTGCGATGGACACAGCGCTGGACGCACTCTGTTCTGTTCCTGACATGCGGCCTGCTAGGGGGATGACTGGCTTCCTCCCTCTGTCTCCACGTTATCTCACCTTGGCCTTTGGCTTCTCCATCTGTAGGTTTGGACAAATGCTCTATTCCAAAGCTGGAGTAATGAGTCTGTGCATATGGAGCTTTGAGTGAAAAGACTTTTGCAGGTCGAAGTGAAAGTGGTTGCGTGAGCTGAACCTGTCAGGGTGCCTAACAAACTGTGCATGAAGGGCTTCTTGGCCATCCTCAACTGCAAATGAACAGATGTTCTAGGGTCAGGGGACCCCAGTTTGTGAACGCCACTGTGCAATGTTGACAGGAACATAGAGAATAATACATATGAGGATCTTTCAAAGGTGCCCTGTGCTATATATGCAGCAGCCAGTTTAGCAGAGAGATAAGAGCTTTGGAATTATTCAGAATGGGTTGGATCCTCCGATTAACCAGTCATTGGTTCTGTGACTTTGGCCAGTCTAGGTAACCTCTCCATTTCTTCCTCCAGAAATGGGCGTGATAATGGCAGCCAGTTCATGGAGTTGTAGGAAAGAATGCATTGTAAAGCCTGGTGCATAATTAGCACTTGACAAACAGTTGTTACAGGTCTTAGCACTAGGTAGCATTACCTCTCAAATTTTCAAGAATCGGTAGGCTGCTTATGACGACAGTAGGTAGCATTTTACAGTGCTTCCTACACACCAGACACTGGGAAATGCTTTACAGCTTATCCCATGCCATGTTCACCTTCTGTGAGTGAAGCAGCTGACGTTTAGTTGGGTTAGTTAACTTTCCCAGGGTTACCATGTTAGTAAGTGGGGCAGCCAGGATTCAAATGCAGAGTCTGCCCCCAAGCTTATGCTCTCAACTCCCGCACTGCCCTGTAGGCTGGCACTTGCCAAGTGTCAGGCCGAAAGCCCTCACTTTTTAAAAAAAAATATGTTTTTATTGATTTTATTGATTTTAGAGAAAGAGGAAGGGAGAGGTAGAGAGAGGAACATCCATGAAAGAGAAATATCAATCAATCGGCTGCCTCCTACATGCTCCCTACTGAGGATTGAGCTGGCAACCCAGGCATGTGCCCTGACCAAGAATTGAACCAGTGACCTGTTGGTGCATGGGACGACACCCAACCAACTGAGCCACAGCAGCCGGCATGCCTTCACTTTTAATGTAAAACACAGATACTGCAGTTACACAAATAGAGTTTGAAATATTTTTTATGGCCATAATACAATGTCTATGTGGACAGATTTAATCATCTTTGCTAATAAAGTAATTTAAGCAAAGACAAGAATAAAAACAAAACCAAAAACACTATTGCTCTATAAGTTTCTTCCAACTAGGAATAAAAAGCCTGAAATAATAAAACGTCTTTTCAAGCTGAATTCGACAGGATGCGCAGAAGTCAGTAAACTGGAATTCTGGCGAAGGTAGAGAGACATGTTTGATTTCTGTTCGTGTAGAATGGTGTTAGCTGCTGCTAACATGATGGCGGCGTTCCCTTGTTTTCTATTTATATAGAAACATCTCCCTATGTTTTTGATAGAGAACTCAGAAAACAAACCACCCACCGTCCATGACACTGCTTTTCCTCCGTATGTATGGAGTCGTTGTCTAATTGTTAGCACCTGTGAAGGAGACGGCAACGAGTATCTCTGCACAGAGCAACTGGGCTGAACCAGCGGGTCCCTGGGCTGGTACACCTGCTGCTTCTCAGGAACGCGTTGTCACACCCGTGTTCCTTACTGTGCCGTAATCACTGGGGACACACTCAGTGTAGATTTGAAAAGTTGACTTTAGCTAGTGACAGTGGAGCAGAACCAGGCTCGTCTCACTCGACCCACACAACACAACACGATAGCGGTCTTCCTGTTCCTTCTAGAGACAAGGTTTTAGCACCGAGACAGCCAGCACCGAAGGCAAGCTGAGGCAGATGGATGAGGAGGCTGAGCAGCTCAAAGATAAGCTCAGCCCTTATCAGCAAAAGCCCACTTTGCTTTCTTAAGAGGCAGCTCTTTATTAGGGGACATGGGAGCTGTCCTTTATTGCCAGGCAATGTACATAATGCAATGGCGAGAAATGCTCCCACTGACCTCCTAGGTTCGGATCATTGGATTAGTTAATAACTGCTCAGGGTTGGGGATTCATAACTTTGCCTTGTGCTAGAATCACATCCTATTACACCGCTCTTTTTCTTTCTTCAAGGGTCAGTTTACCAAAGGACAATGAGGTAACCATTAGCATTCTTGGGGGTGCAAAGCAAGATAAAAACAAAGGAAAGTGTTTAGAATATGTACTGCCTGTTTTAACATGCTCACGCCCTACTATAAACACAAAGATGATGTTTGTGTTCTTTGCCTTCATAAAATTCCAGGCGATTCTTCTTCAGAAATACCATCCAAGTTCAGTATCTCCATTCCTTCCAAATGTGGCTTCTTCTTTGTTTTAAAGCCTTCATTTTCTCATAACCTAGGTGACATGTCTTTGGTTTTGAACTAAAGTAATACTGCAGTCCCAAAACCAAATGAGGAGAAAAAGAGACGCCTAAGGATTCCAATCAATCACGCAGCCTCCTCAGTTCAATCTTCACAAAAGCAAACTCTGCCCTGACATGGGGCAATCATTCTCAGTAGCACCGTCCTGCCCCAGGAAAGGTTAATATTCTGCAGATGACGGTGGTGATACTGTTTGGTCAGGTGGTGGGCTCAAAACCAGTTCCCAGAACCAAATCAGCTAATGACTCCCCG